GAAGGTCCAACAGAAGGACCAACAGAAGGTCCAACAGAAGGACCAACAGAAGGTCCAACAGAAGGACCAACAGAAGGTCCAACAGAAGGACCAACAGAAGGTCCGAGTCACGTCTGCAGCAGACGACCCACCCGAGGACCGTGGTTTTTTAATTCACTCAGGAAAACGTTAATAACAGTTTAGCTGCGTTTAAACTTAAATAAATTCACAAAAACAGCATCAAAGTCCACTGGGAGGACCACAAAACATCGTGCTGTGGTTCTTCTAACCGTGACTCAGGATCCAGCCATCACCTCRACGTGGAAGGAGTATTTTTTATCACTTTTCCCAGGCTAACAYGCTAGGCTAACAGCAGATTCAAGCGATGGGACAAGTTGAATTTGACCGGGAAAAAGAGCAACCAAGGACTTAACGTCTGCTCCAAACATTTAATCAGAGGTAAAAGACCACCAMTGGACCACCTGGATCCTRTCCCTGGACTTCCTCTTATAAACAGATTCAGTAAACTTTGTTGTTTTTAATGTAGCCTACTGCTAGCTTAACCCCTAGCATCTATGCTAGCCTCATACAGCGYTCAGTCCCAACGTTCAGTGATAATATATTTATACACATACTAAAGGCGATGCTATATATTGCTAATGCTAATTATGCTAATGCTAACTGTATTGTGTAAATTAGTGTTAAAAATCGTTAGAAATAAAAACATCATCAGTTTTCGTTATTTTTGACCCAAAGGAGCCGAACTGTAAAGAAAAYGGTGGAGTTTACCTCTCGACGCCGTCCTGCGAGTAGTAAATGCCGTAGGTCTGCACGCCTCCTCCGGTCTCCTCTGGGGGGCGCCAGCTGAGTCGCACGAAGCGGCTGGACACTAGGACAGGGACCAGGTCTCGGGGGGCAGAGGGGAGGGCAACGCCTGGGCTGGGGGACACTGGTGGGGGATCAGAGGAGGAGGAGTAAGTCAAAGGGGTGCCAGAAGGAGCAGGAGGAGTAGAAGGAGGTAGGGGTGTGAGGGCGGGGCTATTCTGAGTGGGCGTGGCCTCTGTTAACGGATCATTCAGAGAGCGGGGAGGGATGGGGGAGCATGGAGGACGTTTCAGGGGGTGCAGGAAGCAGGCAGGGGAGCAAAGTAAATGAAATTAAATCAGCCAATGAGAGATGAGAAAAACCAGGAAAAGACGTGAAAGAGACAAGAAGGAAGAGAAGGAGGAAGAAGATCACAGGCAAGAAGAAAAAGCAGCAGAGCATCTGAAGAGTTCAAACGACATCATCACAGGAAACGCACGTTAGCAACACCTAGCTTAGCATTCACCAGCTAACGGCTAGTCCAAACGCAGACAGCAGCAAAGTGCTCCATCGTAACAGAAACCTTCACATCGTCATCAGTTTGACTTTAGCTRCAGTGAGGCTAAAGCAGCAGCAGCTAGCCTTAGCTCTTCCTGCACACACACCGTAATATTTCTGTCGTGTCTTTTGAAACTGACGATGATGTAAAGGTTTATTAAATACTGTTGTCAGCTGAACGATGCTCCGACTAGCCGTTAGCTCATCAGTCTGGTCAGAAATAAACATTTTCTCCRAACTGAGGTTGYTSACAGRACTATCTACAACAGGTAAGACATTTACTGTTCATCGACTCTCCATGAACCTCCTTTAATCTGACAGTGAAACTATATTTAATCAACTTAAATCAAATCTGYCTGTTGGTGAAATTAGAACATTTTTGTCTGAAAACATTATTTATTTAATAAATGCAGCCAGTTAGCTCGCTGGATTAGCTGTAAAAATGCTGACTCAGCATTTAAACTTTTGTTTTCCTGGTTGTTCAAATGTTTATTTTTTTTACAATGAAATATCTGTGCAGATTTGCAGTTCAAACATCAAATCCTTCAGCTCATTTAGGAGCTGTAACTTTTTATACTTTTCAAAGTTTTAACTTGATTTACAAATATTAACCTTTAAAATAATTTCTAAAATATGTCGTTAGCTTTAGCCACTGGCTCTGGTTTTGTTCTTTTAACGCTGCATTTAGCTAGTTTTAGCTTCTACCCATCTTTTACAACATTTCAGTTTTTCTGCTACTCATAGCTTTTAGCTCATGCTTGCTACTTGTATCTTTTAGCTAATCTTCAGTTACTTGTAGTTTTTATGGTTTTAACAATCGTCCTACTGCACTGAGCTAGCCATCGGCCACTTTTAGCTTTTAGCTAGCGTTCTGCTAGTTTTAGCTACAATGTTTCTTTCAGCTTCAGTTTTAGTTTTGTTGAATCAGGATGAAAAATAAAAGAAACATTTCTGTTGAATACTGGGAGAAAAAAAGGACAAAAAATAAAAACATTAAAACAAATATTTTACTGAGATTGTAAAGA